TTTTATCGAGGCTGGGGAGAGATAAAGTTATAATTGTTTTGTGAAGTGTATTTTATAGACACATAGGTAAAGAAACGGTGGGGGTGGGGGGTGTAGACCTATTGGAGATTTGGCGAAACGGAACATTTATGACCTTTACTGCAGAGGGTGGAGACGCTATATAATCTGGAGAAGATGCCGATTGAGGCATTGTATGAGCTGGTTTAAGAATAGAATTTCTTGGCAATGTAGCAAAGAAAATACAGGGGAGTTAAAAGGAATATAGAAAATAACTCAAAGTGTACGTTGTATAAAGAAATCCAGAAAGATGTGAAGTAAGTAGCTTGGTCCTTTGGGTCATCTTTGTCAAAAATTGTTAGGGTAAAAATTAAGCCATACACATCAGATTTTTTCATATATATAATGGATTTATTCGTTATTTTTAGTGTAAATTCTTGTTTCTGGAATTTGTAAGATTGGCTGAATTGACCAATCAGAAATTAGAGTCTATCTTTGGTTGTTCTTAGACGTAAAAAAAAAACCCTCCCTTGTCTTTGTTTAGAACAATCAGATAATGACTCGGGCTTTTCCGTCAGAAAAAATCCGGAAAATTTGAAGTATTACAAATATGTAGTTATCTTTAAAGTGTAAGCAACACAATAAATAAGCATAGTTATTTAATGCTACAACATGATACAACGAAATTGTTATCGTACGGTCTATCTATAGTAGTTTTCACAATTTTTTCCAGAATGCACGACCATGAAGCCAAGCATGCGTATTCAAGGAATTTGGACTAACGTAGTTGCTAGAGCTCGAGAGCACTAGCAATAATGCAATTCTCATTCACTTAAAGTCATGTTTTTGCCTCATTTGCTAATCTGACGCCAAAAAATATGGTCCCGGTTCTCATGCAAAAATATTTGTCCAAAAAGAAATTTTAATTCATGACTGCAGCAAATTGTATCATAGAGAATACTTATTTAAGTTTGAATGATTTCAAGAGAGATCGAGTGAAGTACATTTCTACTGATATCATAGGCATAATCATGTTATTCACTTCGCGAATCAAATAAGTTTGACGTTGTACACGTTAACGTCAATGCCTGTATAAGAGTGATTTTAATCATGCTTTAGCTTCGGTAATCAAAATTACTAATGATTTAAGGAAATAAAATATATGGAGAATTCTGTCTTATAACTAGCATAAGACATATTATAGGGAGCGAATCAAATAACATGAGTATATACCGACGCAAGTTCTGTTTTTCCTTCCATGAGAGTCAATTAGACCGTATCGATCATATATGTGAAGAACAGGTAGCGAATCAAATAACATGAGTATATATATACAGACGCAACATTCTAAAAGCCTCTAAAAGGGGAGATTTTCCCCGGAAAAGGGTTTCTTAGGGGACATACAGAGAAAAAATGGGGCTTGGATTTTTTTGGGGTTTCATTCTTAAAATGATCATTTTTTAAATGATCAAGGCATATTATAGGAAGTGAATCAAATAACATGAGTATATACCGACGCAATTTTCGCCTTTTAACGTAGGATTCTTCTCACATTTCTTGTATTTGAAAATTAATGAAATTTTCACAGAATCAAGAGGACATTATCACTAAGTGATGGTATCAGTGAGATCAAATTTGACCGTTTAATATCAGAGGCAAGGTCAGGTCAAGGTCATGACCTTTTTCCTGGACATAAAGAATAAGAAATTACTGTTTCCAATCATGCGATCCCTACTTGAAATTCAAAAGATTGAATGTTTTTCTTTTTGCATAAAAAGATACAACCATATAGGGCCTATAAGATGATATTACCAAATTGACATAGATAATTCAAATAAAATGGATATTTGCTAATCCGAATTTCCTCTAATTTTCTTAAATTTTTAGGATATATTAGTTATTTTTATATGCTTCCAATATTTAACTTTTTCTCATTTTCACATATAGTAAAGTTGTCACATAAAGGTACAAAATGATACAAAAGCTAAAAGTTTTGATCGTTTACTAAGAGAGAAATAACATTTTTTACGGATTTTTGGCTCAAATCTGTACTTAAATTTGAAGCATATGAAAGCCAACATAGTTCTAGTATGTGTGCAAAATCTTATTTATTTGATATATTTTGAAAATTTAGGCTCTTATTATTAATTTAATTTACATTTGAAAATTTCGTCTCGTCTTTGATTGCGTAAAAATTATAACTAAATTCAATGTTCTATAACAATTTTGAGAGACAGAAAAGAAGATATTTTCATACGCCACCATTCCGCCAAAAATATAGTCCCTGTTAGTTTTCAAACGCAGTTTACCATTTCTATTTAAAGTTGTACAATTGTGACGAGGAAAGAAAATTATGGTCTTTTAAATCTCTTACACCATAAGACATATAAGCAAATATACTTTGAATATTTCATCTACTCAGAAACTAGAGAAGAATCCTACCTTAATGCTTTTCACGTAAACTGAAGTATATTATAATATCACAAACAGAAAAGATATGTAAAGAAATTAGTTTAAAGATATGCTATTTATTCCGTATGAACAACAGACAATTAATTACAATAAAATAAATTTTGCTATTTTTTCCGTAAAATGTTATATCTTAATTTACATAATTTTCGGAATAAACGCAATTTTATTTCATTTAGCTAAACTTATGTTGAATGTGTAATAGTTAAACTACACACATCTATATCATTCTATATTTATTGATGACTTAATGATTGAATAATTGAATTAAGTTTGGTATTTATTCCGTTAATTTTATTTGAAATTTATTTTATTTATATATATGCTATTTATGGAATAAACGCAATTTTAATAGTTTTAAAAATTATGCTTCAAATATTCAAACGTGATACATCTTAAATCATTTGCTAGTTATTTTGTATGCTATAAAACAACAACAAATATTTTACAGCTTGTAATTTACGAAGTAAACATAATATTACTTTTGCTCTCAATGTTGCTGAATTTTCAATATTGATACAGAATAAACAGCAAATAGATTGAAATGCAAATAGTTTAAAGGTTTATTACATGAAAGTATGTGGTTTTGTTTAAAAAAAAATATACGGCTTATATTAAGTCTTTGTGATTCTTTCATATTATACTCTGGTGTTAAGAGTGTTCACTCGCCAGCTACCTTCATAGGCCTAGAAGTGCAAGTTGAAAGTGAATGATATGTACTCAAGAAATATTTCATTCAGGAATTGTCGGTAGTAAAATGATCCCTTGACACAATTATAAAATGAGAAATTTAGTAACTATATGTTTTTTAAGAAATAAATGCTAAATGTTATTTATTCGCTTACCTCGTAGAAGTAAAAACAGAACTTGCTTCGGTATATACTCATGTTATTTGATTCGCTCCCTATGATTTGCCTTGATCATTTGAAAAATGATCATTTTAAGAGTGAATCCCCCAAAAAATCTAAGCCCCATTTTGAATTTGTACGTCCCCCAAAGAAACCCTTTTCCGGGGAAAATCTCCCCTTTTAGAGGCTTTTAAGAATGTTGCGTCTGTATATATATATACTCATGTTATTTGATTCGCTACCTGCTCTTCATATATATGATCGATACGGTCTAATTGACTCTCATGGAAGGAAAAACAGAACTTGCGTCGGTATATACTCATGTTATTTGATTCGCTCCCTATGATTTGCCTTGATCATTTGAAAAATGATCATTTTAAGAGTGAATCCCCCCAAAAAATCCAAGCCCCATTTTTTTATCTGTATGTCCCCCAAAGAAACCCTTTTCTGGGCAAAATCTCCCCTTTTAGAGGCTTTTAAGAATGTTGCGTCTGTATATATATACTCATGTTATTTGATTCGCTACCTGCTCTTCACATATGTATGATCGATACGGTCTAATTGACTCTCATGGAAGGAAAAACAGAACTTGCGTCGGTATATACTCATGTTATTTGATTCGCTCCCTATGATTTGCCTTCAGTTGATCATTTAAAACATCATAATTTTAAGAGTGAATCCCCCCCAAAAAATCCAAGCCCCATTTTTTATCTGTACGTCCCCCAAAGAAACTCCTTTCCGGGGAAAATCTCCCCTTTTAGAGGCTTTTTAGAATGTTGCGTCTGTATATATATACTCATGTTATTTGATTCGCTACCTGCTCTTCACATATGTATGATCGATACAGTCTAATTGACTCTCATGGAAGGAAAAACAGAACTTGCGTCGGTATATACTCATGTTATTTGATTCGCTCCCTATGATTTGCCTTGATTATTTGAAACATGATCATTTTAAGAGTGAATCCCCCCAAAAAATCCAAGCCCCATATTTTATCTGTATGTCCCCCAAAGAAACCCTTTTCCGGGGAAAATCTCCCCTTTCAGAGGCTTTTAGAATGTTGCGTCCGTATATATATACTCATGTTATTTAGTTCGCTACCTGTTCTTCATATATATTTAAAACGAACCCTTTTCCTTTGAAAATCTCCCCTTTTATAGAATTTTAGAATGTTGTCTCTGTATATATATATATACTCATGTTATTTGATTCGCTACCCATTCTTCATATATATTAACGATTATCTAAAGAATCCAGTATTGGAGCTCTCTCTCTCTCTCTCTCTCTCTCTCTCTCTCGTATTATTTTATTTCCTGAAATAGTAGTCAATACTACTAAATATTCGAAAATTATAATATAAACTGTATAACACCATTAGAATCCCTCTTATACAAGAAATGACGTTAACGTGTACAACGTCAAACTTATTTCATTCGCGAAGCGAATAACATGATTATGCCATATCATATGGTGTTGAAAACTGAAACACAACATAACTTTTTTTGTTTACCATGTCTCCACGTGCTAGTCACTATTCCGTGAATAATTTACACTATCTCGCTGAATTCTCACTAACTCTAGCCAGAGCCACTGCCAGAGCTACTCTGAACGGATCGGGTTTTTTTTATTTGCAGAACACCGAAAAATAAAAGTACATATTAGTAGGGGTGAAAAGACACTAACGAAATGCTAGACTTAGCACAAGATGACACAAAGATAATACAGCTGGCACTTACGGATCTCTCCCAGAAACAAAGGTACATGTACCTAATCAGACCAGAACGTAAACCGATGTACAAACCTCTGTGTAATGATACTAATCAGGTGAATTTTCTTGTTTGAAGACAATATGGATGAACAGATTAAGAAAATAGATGCTTCAAGGAAAGTGGGCAAAGAGTTGAAAGAAAATCAACATTTCACACCAACATCAAGAAAACGCTTTGTTTGAACCTCCGGTTGATGTGAACAATTTAATAAATATTACTGAAAATTTTCAATCTGGAAATCTATAACAACTGACAAGTTGATATTAGACACTGTCTGAGGATATAAAATTGAATCTGATACCATGCTAACAAAAAAGAACCCAACCTGAAATGATAAAAAAGTTCAAAAAACTCAACTTGTAAAAGAAGAAATTTTGAAATTACAACAGAAAAATGTTGCACAAATAGTGGATAGATGTAAGGACAATTTCATTTCAAACATTTTTCTTTGACCAAAACAGGATGGTTCAAAAAGACTCATTTTCAATATGAAAGAACTCAGTGAAGATATCCAATATCAACATTTTAAAATGGAGAATTTAAAATCTAGAATGTTGGATCGCATGTATTGCTATTTGAAAGGGTAATGTCAATTTTTAAGAAAATTATTTTATTAGAAAAACAAAACTGTCACATACATGCTACACACATTGCATTGATTTGATTAGTTGAATAATTACATTCTTTCTATCTGTTATTTAATTAAGGACAGATGATACAAACAAAACAGTGATGCCTGGATTGGAATTTATTTTTTGACACCCTTAATTGCAAATAATGCAAATAATAAATTTCTAGAATATAAAGAAATTGTAAACCTTATGTGATGTTTAAATTTCTACCCTTCTGAAACCATCTTTCATATTCTATACAAATATTTTTCACTTCAAATTCCATTTTTGTGCACTTTTGAATTAAAAAAAACTACATGGTGTCCATCACCTAAAAAAACTATTTTATTTATCTTTATAACGAGTATTTGTTCACAATTTGTTTTTGTTTTCAAACATCGAAACGAGCCGTCACCCGCGTAGCGCAGTGGTTAGAGCGTCTGCTCTAGAGTCGCCAATTAAGGAGTTGATCCTTACGTCTCGGGTACGAATCCCACCGTGGAACGTAGAGACTGGTCCTTCGGATGAGATCGTATAAACCGAGGTCCTGTGTCTTGGTAGGTGCTGGCCCGATAGAGATCCCTCCCTGATCAATTGCCCTGAGTGCCGAGTATAGGACAAAATTTAATTTTGCGCTCTCCATTAGCAAGAGGTGGCGTCTCCATATGAGTGAAAAATTCTCGAGAAGGACGTTAAACATTATACAATCAATCAATCGAAACAACTTACAAGCCTACTTTCATTATTTTGACTCTGCAAAAATCGCCGCTCGGGTCCCTGCAAATTATTTTACACTGTTGTTTATTCATAGCCCAGATAAGCAGCAACAGTTTGTGGCTATGAAAAAGCCACCATCTTAAATTTAATCTTTCAAATTTTTCAAAAGAGCATACTTTGATATAGATTTTAAAAGATATTCTTTTTTCTTTGTATAAAATATTTTTATCAATGAAAAGTTATCTTAGAGCAGGTTTTTAAAATTTTGATTTTCACCTAGTTCATACATTTTTGAAATTATCGACATCCTAGAATGTGTCATTTTTTATAATCCATTATCTGGGTTAGTTTGTTTCTGTGTTTCTGATTATAGTGAAACAAGAGAGATAACAGTGAATGACACCAGACCAGGAAGTGTAACCTATAATGTATGTTTACCTGACAAATACCTGTTGATAACAATGTCCGCCATGTCTGCTTTTTCATTTTGCAGAAAGAAAACACTGAATTAATCTGTAAAAAGGTATTGTTTTCTTTGTTTTTAATGATCAATATAAATGACCTTGCAAATAATTTACATCTTCATATAATGAATAACGAAAATCGACACTTTTAAAAATCATAGTTTGATAAGGAAAATCTTAAAATAATTCCGGTCATAATGAAATTTTCGGTTGGGTGAACATTTACAAAATAGCGACTATGGTATTTGAACTATGGAGTGCATTATGCACTAAAAATGTTGCTTAGTACTATAAACTTCTTTTTATACCCGGGGTGCGATGTTGTCAAACATCACTAAGGGTTTTTTAACTTCAAAACATTTAATGAATTAAGTTACCAAAGCTCTGAAATGTGCATCTTTTACAATTAAGGGTGGATAGAGAATTTAAAGCGGGGTGAGGCAAGCTGACTAGGCTAAGGTCGTGTGGGATGGGAGATTCCCCTAGGGATTGGAACCACTGAAAGCTTTGAAATACTACAGATGTACTAGGCCAAAAATGATGTTTTATGAGAGGACATTTTACTTAGAGGCGCATGTACACGACATTTACTCAAAGTTTAAGCAAAAAAAAAAATGATATTTATCTTCCAACCGCAATCATTACAAAAATTAAAATATTCTATAACTTCTTTCATTTTCTAATTAATACCAGTTTCAATCCCCGCAATGGGAACTCATTTAGAACATATTCTTCTTTAAAAATTTATTTTAAAATGAATATGTAAAGTCAAATATATTGATTTGACAAATTTTCTTCACATGAACTACATATTATACAAGATGATGAAGCACTTATCATACAATCTTCCCCTCTTCAAGATATAAAATTTATTGCGCTGTGTTAATTAAATTTTAATTAGTCAAAAATTTCCAGGCCTATAAGAAATATTTCATTTTGGGGGCGAAACCAAACATTTTGGGTAGTCATTAACAAGCAAAGTTTTCTTAGGGACGTTTTGTAGCAACATTATTTGGGGGAGGGGTGTCCGAGAAGAAAAATTAACTAATCCGAAAGGAAAAAAAATGACAAGCAAAATAAGTTCTAACTTCTCTCTGTACTAAATTTTATTCATAAACTACTGCTTTACTCTTATTTGACTAAATTGCAACACAAATTTGGGAGGGAGAGGGGGGGGGGGGCAACCAGGCAATGTTAAATGAACATTTGTAATAGTCAAGTTTTGTTTGAGGGGGCGGCGCCTTTCCTTTTTGATACTTTGATACTACGTCACTGTTCCTTTATAAGCCAAAAAAGGGTCATCAAGTTTTTATTGAGGGGGGTTATCCATAAATCAGAGCTTTATTTTCTGTACTTAACAATATGGTTCAAAATTCTTTAAGGAAAGGAGGGGGGCTCCACTGCACCCTTTTTAGGTTCATAGAACCATGGGTTTTATATGCCATTCTTTACAATTCATATCTAACATAATTTATTCGATGTTGGTCTATCTCTGAATTTTTGCGGAATGTGTTCCCAGTTTCTCATTTGTCGGAGTAAAGCTTACTTTTTACAAATTTACTCCAGCTTTCACGACACATTTGTTCCTTACTCATGTGTTACTTGCAAGTATCGATCGCGAGTAAGGCACATTTCAAATATATGCTCGACTTAAAACTTCTTTGTCAGAATTTGAAGCCAAGTTTTATAGTCACAAATTATTTTGAGTCATACTCCAAATTATTCTCTGAAGCTAGCATGTAAGCTGGAACCCGAGCCAATGTTCATAACAAACATGCCAGATTAATTATATTATTTTCAATTGCAACTTGCTCAAGGAGTCAAAACATTCTGTGAAGGATATGGAGACAACGAACAGTATTCAATATCAAAGTCCATAAAACAATAAACAAAATAGGAGCAGAACAAACAAAACTTCAGAGGGGGGATCAAATGCCATGGAGGAGTGAGTAGTATCCCCCACTGACCGTTCATACCTGCCGTGTGCTCCTTGTCATGAAAATAACGGAAAAATCAATTCACTGTATAAATAATGGACTAACAATTACTATGAAAAACGTCAGTCAGCATTTGACTCAATGATTAATTGTATTTGCTGACAAGGTCATTGTATAGACCAAAGAACTTACAAAATTATGACTTTGAACGAGACTGCTGAAATTCTTGCTATATCAAATTCTATGTAAAAAATTTACCTCATTTTAGAAATTGTTTATACTTAAAGCATGCTCTTCCGTATCGAATCAACTGAGATATATAAACGCCGTGTGCAGGTGGTGATGGTATATTGCTGCATTAGTAAGGGAAGTTGTCGATAGAAAAGTTAAAGTCATCATGTTTATCATAGAGCGTAGTTGTAAATCACATATACAAAACTACTTGTATAATATCATTTACATGTAGTGTACATGTATTACGGTTTTGGCCTTTGGTATTTTGCGCAAATGTAACACTTAATGTAAATGTAAAACTTGTATTTCAAATGTAATAATTTATGAACTGTTTTTGTTTAAACCATTTAAAATATGGTAACAAATGTATCTAATAACCATTGTGGTTGATAAGATCGTAACCTCTGTTTGTATAGTTATATCATTTTTGCACAAAAACGCTTAAATGACTAGAAATAATAAATGAAATATGACAACAATTAAAATAATGTCTGTTTGACCCAGCTCTCTTAACTCAGGGTAAAAATGTGGGTCGGTTAATGAATGGGAAAACCTTTTTTTCTGGAAACTGACAGAGGGATGTATACACTTATCCCTCAATACTATGTCGTATGAATTTAACTTTTAATCAAATTCAATGCATCAACAAATATGTAAGGTAAAAATTTTAAGACATTTTTGTTTTAAGATTGGAATCTAAAAATTAGGTACATTGTTGATATTATGTACATTTTGATTTTTCTTATCATTAACAGATTGGGTTCTTTATAATGACAATTCATTCAAATTTTAGATCTGGACATGGATCCCCGCCACAGTGCCCAAGATGTCGCCCGATGTGACCTTTGTGAGGACACTATAGCACAAAATTATTGTGATTACTGTCATGTCAGTCTGTGCATTCCATGCGTAGGAAAACATATTTCTGATGGTTATGACAAACATAAAGTGGTCCCATTTCAAATAAGAAAATCAACCTTGATTTATTCCAAGTGCACAACACACGAAACAAACAGATGTAAATTTCAATGTACAAAGTGTAATACATCTGTTTGTTCTTTGTGTAATATATCAGATAAACATAAGGGGCATACCATTACAATTCTTTTAGATATATTTCTTTCAAAGAGAGAACTCATAGAGAAAGATACTGAAGAATTAGAAACCATAATTTCTCCAACCTATGAAGAAATTGCCGCTGATTTGGAAGCTCAGATAGCTAATATGGATGGAGAATATGGAAAACTTACAGAAGCAGTTACAGAACATGGAAAAGAATGGCACAAAGAAATTGATAACATTGTGAAAAAAATGAAAACAGAAATTGAAGAGATAAAAAATAAACATATGAGCATTCTGAAGAAACATTTAGATGAAATTAAACAGATACAGACTCGTATTAAACAAACACTGCTAAAACTAATTAGAATTGATGAATCTAATGAAGTGTCTATGACTATGGAATACAGTTCCAATATCAGAGAATTGAGCACACTTCCTTCCAAAATTAAGGTATCACTACCAACATTCAGTCCAAAGTCAAAAGATTCAGAACTTCTTTATAAATTATTTGGATCTTTAACACCATTATGCACCACAACAGAAAAAAATGGTTATACACTGAAAAACTCAGAACAATCAACTAGAGAACTGCTGAAAGAATCAGAAATTATCACCACTATAAATACTGGGTTTGATAGCCTCCGCAGTGTTTCCCGTCTCAGTGAAGTAGAAATCTGGACAAGTGGAATGGACAGTGTTATGAAATGCTTTATTAAT